ATTACCGCTGTTATTTTCATGGCGCAAATGGATTTTGCTCCTATATGGCCCTCCATAATTTACATCACAGATAATATAACACATTATAATAAGTAATCCTTCAGTGTTATATATTTTTATAAATACATATATAACTTCTGAGACCGGTGTTTGTACTTATTTGTGAGAAGAGAAATAATAATGAAATAAATCTTCTATAAAAACTTTACGTAATCAAAATTATAATGTATAAAAACTAAATTTGATTTATTTATTTTAGAGTTTTATATAATGCTATGAATATATACTATTTTGTACAACTGTATAATGAATATACAAGAAATTTGCAAAATGCAATTTAAAAGAAAGTGCAAATATTTCGTATATAAATCGATTATCTCAATTGTGCTATTTAATTATTTGAAGACATTTGCGATATAAATAGATATAATCATTCCATTATAGTGATGACCGTAATGTTTGCAGAATATTAACTTTGCAACTTGGATACTTTAACAGTTAGTACATGAAATTGCGAGAGTCACCATCGTGATGAATAGTATAGAAAAAGCATTAAGTCCTGTTTTCTCAATTACTTTTTTTTTGGGTCTTGGGATTTTCAATCCTTCAGACCAATTGAAGTATCGCTTGAGTCTTTTCTATATATTTACTGTGTGGAGTGTTTATACTTACGCGTTATATTATGCAATAGACCAGTTTTCAATGAAAATTGTATTTAATAGTTCAATTAATTTTTTTATGATAATAGTAAATTTGCTTGCGGCACTGATATCTATAATCATCTCTATCTGCAAACATGAGGTATATATTTTATTTGTAAATGTTATTATTTTAAAACTAATGTGATATTTGAAATAGAACAAATAATATCCAATATCACTGCGAGAATATTACTTTCTAACATGAAACAAACTTTATTATTTATTAAGAAATTTAATAAAATAAAGTCTTATATTATTAAATTATATGGTAATTATACGTATATTATATTAGAAGCGAATTTACTGATTTCAATAACGTATGTTGTCAAGGTCATGTCCTTCGACAGATTTTAGTCATCGGTTATTATTCGTTTCAATATTATTAATAAAAAATTTTTTTTAATATCTGATTTTTGCTATATATAATTAAGAACTGCATTATTCTTCTCTTTGCTTAGGAATATTTTGTACTGAAAAACGGCACGTAAAGTGTATGCGTGGAAATACGTACTGATATACATTTTATATCACGATACAAGGACCCCACCTTCCCTCCTCTCTAAAGGTGAACTTTATTTTGTGTGGAAATTCATACGCCCCTAGGCAGAGGAGAGAGATGGGGTGAAACTCATTTCACGTGGAAAGTCATTACGTACGCAAGGGAGTGTATGGGATAATTTTTAATATTGTATGTGAAATAAAAAGTTATTTTTAAACTTTTTTTATTTATAACTCTTTAACGACTACTAATCGACGACTAAAATTTGTTGGAGGTCACTTAGGGACATGACCTTGATAACATATATCAAATTCAAAGTCATCAGGGCGGGCTCTTTTCATCAGCATATTTACCTATTTAATTTTTAATATATTATAAAAATATTCTGTACGTATTTTATGCAAGCATTATTCGAAAACATTAAAACACAGACTAAATATAATTTTATATAGCATTTATGTTAAATATAAATAAATTTTTTTAATAAATGTTTTTTATTATTTGGATTTTAATTTCTTGTCAAGTATTGTTATATCATTTACTACAATATGATATTTCATAATGCGTATAATAAATATATATGATCTGGCAAGAACAAAAAATCATTTACAAAAATTAAAATTATTATTAAAAATAAATTTAAGAAATATTTTGTAAATATTTTATAAATATTGTGTGCTGTATCTGGATTCCATCCGTCAATTATACATATCAAAACACAATATAAATGTTTACAATGTGACTCAGCAATGTGTCAACAGCACACATGCAGCAAATTGTCTATTGTGCTCTATTAAAAAATATACATAAGATTAACATTATATAATTGTAGTTTCATGTTTAATAAAACTTAATAACATTGATATACAATAAATGTAATACAGTACTTTAATGTTGTTGTATATATATTTATCTGAAAAACACATTTGCAATGAAAGAAATAAATCTTAAATGTCTGAAGTGAATAATAAAAATACGCCACATTCACTTTGTTCAATAATTACGTACTTGAAGAATTTTAAATGTCACATATTGAAAACTACTAAATGTTTCAATTTTCAACATGAGGTATTTAAAGCTTTTTTTATTACAATGGGCTTTCCAGACTCATAGTGTGTTTTCGGAATTTTTCGAAAAGTGTGTGTTTTAGGCTTAAAAATATCATGTATGTATCTTATTTATACTTATTAATGACAAGATCTCGCAGTTTTACAAATTCTGTTATTTTCAGAAATATCGAAAATGTACACAAAAGTTCAATCAGATAGATGATACATTAGAAGAACTCGGAATATCAAAAGAATATTATAGAATGCAAAATTTCACAAGACTGATTTTGATTGTGTGGTCTGTGTTAACTTGCATGGAATGGATTTACAATGTCTTACTATTCTTAGCAGAATTCAATGATATAAAAGCCATACTTATTCCTTACGTTTTGTCTTATTTTGTACACAGTAACACTATCACAGATATAACGTTTATCTTACTTTTAAGGTTTCTAAATTTTATTGTAATACAATATTATTTTATAGTGCATAATAGTAATTCGTTCCATAAACAAGTATTAATCTGCTATTATATATTAAATTCGAATTACTCAGATTAATATGTGTGTGCGAACTCAGAATATTTACAAAATTGTGAAATTTCAAGCAGGAACAAATTTTTGTGTTCTTTGCTACATGTGTATGTAAAGATTTAATTAAGGTTTTTATGAATATTTTTTAAATTCCAGACATATCAATACTAGACTGGATAAAATAAATGATTATATTGCACAGATATCAGAAATGGAGGACTATGAATTAAGATGCAAATGGAAAAAATTTCTTATTGTTAATAGCCACAATGCTAAGAATCGCAAGCTTGTGTTATGGATCGTTCTGTAAATTATTATTAATTT